GCGAAGCCCCGCCCTGTCACGAAGCCCCGCCCCTCACCGACACAGCCCAGGGTGAGGACACCATGGCGGTAACGCTCCCATTGCCGGGGGGCCACCATGCCACTGTCACCATCACCATCATCCGCCTCTCCGCTGTCCCCCGCCTCTTCCTGCTGCTCTTCCTCCTCTTCTTCCTCCCCCCGCGCCGCAGCCTCCTCCGCCCGGTCCAGCCGCGCTCGCCAGCTGCTCAGGTCCACTGCAAAACCGTGGTGGGTGATGATGGGGGAGAGGGGCACCCAGGGGATGCTGGGACACGCCCCCCCCAGCACCCAAGGGGGTCCCCACAGCTCTACCCACCCCCCCCAGTCACCCCTTGAGACACCCACCCCACCATAAAGCGACTGAAGGGACACCACAGTCCACCCCATCCAGAAAGTGGATGGGAGACCCCCCCTTATACGTTCTCTCCCCACCTCAGCACTCATGGGTGCCCCCCTTCCCCGCTCACCTTCTCCCCCTACGATGCTCTCGCAGGCCTCCAGAAGCTGCCGGGGTCCCACAGCCCGGCTCCAACCACCCCCCCGTTTCTGCCGCCGTTGTAGCCCTGGGGGAGAAATAAGGGTGGGTGGGTGGTGGAGGGGAGGGATTCGGGACACTTGGGTGCCCCTCCCCACGTCAACCCCCCACCCTCCCCGGGTCCTTACCGGGTGCCAGGTTCCGTCGGGGAGCAGAGGTGAAGGGGACAACACGGGCGGCGGGGAAACGACGGCGTAAGAGGTGGCTCCAGGCAGTGGCCACAGCTGGGGAGGTCAGGTCCACTTTGTTGAGGATGAGGATCAGGCCCTTCCCCAACTCACGCGTCACATGGGTGGCCAACGCCGGCGGCACGTTCAGTGCCTGGTGGGGGGGATAGACGACACCAATGACAGTGTAGGGGGTGGGGGAGTGCTCAGCAGTACCCCAAATGCCTGGATCCCACCCCGGACACCTGGATCCCTCCTTCACTCACCGGGTGCCTGGCATCAGTGATGAGGAGGATGATGTCAGACATCTCCAGCACCCGCCAGAGCTGCCGCCATGTCTGGGAAGGGACACAGTGACCCCCTTTGTCCCTTAAAGCCCCCCCCCCGGTCACGTCCCCTCAGCGTCCCCTCTCACCTCCAGATTGTGCTCAAAGGGAGCCACGTCCCCACCATCATCGTCGCCACCAGTGCCCCCCTCCTCGGTGCCCCCAGGGCGCTGGCCCTCCCGGAGAGCTCGGAGGAAGGTGCCGAAAGCCGCTTCTTCCTTCACCCGCAGCTCCTCCGGGCTCATGGCAAAACTCCAGGGCGGCCGACGTGGGAAATCCAGCCCTGACACCCAGCAGCCTGGATCCCACTGGCCCCAGGCCCCCCTCGGGGGGTATTTGACCCCCCCCGCAGGCCATTTACCCCTCCCAAGCACCACATCCCCCACTCCCCATGCCTAATTGCCCCCACTCAGACCCCCCTCGACCATTATTACCCCCCCCAAGCCATTTTACTCCTAGATGATTAATTACACCCTCTCCCAGGGCAATTCCATCTTCCCCTAGTTGTTAGTTACAGCCCCCAGCACTTAATTGTTTCCCCCTAGTTGTTAGTTACAGCCCCCAGCACTTAACTGCCCCCCCTCCAAGCTGCTTAGCCCCCCTTCTTTGCTTACTTGCCTGCCCCCGGTGTATTTGCCCCCCTTCCCCCACGGTATCTGCCACTCACCGGGGCCGTAAATGCTGTCGGGGTCCAGCTCAAGGGCGGTCTCGGGCAGCAGCTCCAGCAGCTCCTCCTGGGCCCGTCGCCGGCGTCGCGCCAAGGCCTCGGCCCGCGGCCCCCCCAGCTGCAGCCGGAACCTGCCGGATACCCGCGGCCTCACGTAGGCGCCCGGATCCCCTCACTCACCCACCCAGGTTCCCTCGAACCGCACACCAAACCCGCCCTCTCCTTTCCATTCCTCCCGGTTACCTGCCGGGATCATGGCGGCGGGGAGGGGGAACCGGATCTCCCGTTTCAACTGGGACCGCGTCGTTTCCCCGCTCCCGGCTCCCACTACGGCTGCCCGGGCCCGAGTCCGGCCCTGTCGGGGCATCTACGGACAAAGAAGAGGGGGGTCAGGGGCCGGCGGGCCGCCGCGGTTCTCCCTCGGCCCGGTCCCCGCTCACCGCCCCGCTTCCGTTCGCGCCGGTCGCGGAGCTGCTGCTTCTTCCGCTTCGCGCTGAACGGCCGCTTGCGGGGCATGACGGCAGATCACGTGACGGGGCGGGGCCGGCCGCGACCAATAGGAAGGGTGGAAGGCGGGGGAGATGGAAGGGGAGGAGCCAATGGGAGGGAAGATCTCCTCAGAAAGGGGGAGGGACGAATCGGCGGGAGAGGCAACGGCGGGAAACATCACCTCGCGGGGAAGGACGAACCAGCGGAGGCCAATGGGAGAAAAAGTTACGCCAGAAAGGGGCGGGATGAACCCGTGAAAGCCAATGGGAGGAAGAATCACCCCTGAAGGGGGAGGGACGAACCGTCCTGACCCGATTACGGAGTCAGTGGGCGGGACCCGAGAGCCAGCGAACCAATCCCGAGCGGAAACGACCCGGGCCGGTGCCGTGGCGGACCGGAAGCGGAGACTCTACCGGGTCGACGCTCTAGCCGAGTCTCTGTGGCTGCGCAGGCGCAGTAAGAGGCGCCCGGCCATGCCGAAGGGAGCGCGGCCGGCAGCCGCCAGGCAGGAGGAATGGCGGGGGGAGGGCGAGGGACAGGGTAAGGGCGGACGCCGGGGTCTCTCCGGACGGGGGG